GCAAGCAAAGTTACTAAATCACTACTGAAAAAGCAATAGCATTCTGCCCCCTATGACATTTATCCACATTTCTTGAGGTGCAGTACAATCACTTAATACATGCAAGGAATCTTCAATTTCTCTTGTGAAAAATGGACAAAATGAAATAGTGGTTAAACCCCATCTCTCCCTCCATGCATTTGTGCATAGGCTTCCATGAGCCACCCTTCACAAAAAACACCGAATTGCAAACTTCAAATCGGCTAGAAAATTTCGTCACTCGTTCTCCCATGTCGTGTACGAATAACATCATATGCTTCCTTAAAGGATAATGAACCATCCACAGATTTAACCCAACCAATAATATCATTTTCAGCATCCAGGTAAGGAGGAGGATGACCACTAACCTCATACCAAACACCTTGAGTAATAAACATCATATATGGTCAATATTCCAATCAGTTAGTATATTATTGCACTATTTTTTAACTCCTCTAGAGGGATATAGAGGATTGCAACATCGAGAGTAGACTTAATCTTCAAAAAGTTAGTGATCCAGCCAAAAGTTAACATACAAACTATCACCTACCTGTCAAATAAGAGTTAATCACCTATACACTATTAATGAAAATTTTTTACATAGACAACCAATTAGATTTTTTAATTGTGTCATGTCAATATAAATACATTTACTTTTAACAGTAACATGTCATAATTAAAAGATCTAATTAGTTGCCGGTGTAAAAAAAATGTATAGGTGATTAACTCGTCAAATAATACTAAGTAAGACAAAATAACTATGTTGTAGATCCCCTAATATCACATAACTACTTTGCACAAACATTATTTTTACAAGCTATTTTTACTATGGAAAGATGATAAGTAGTCTTTTTGATCAGATAAGAGGTATTATTTGGTAAAAATGAATTTAATGATCGCATTAAATGTGTCAAATGGTTATCTGCCACCACAAGGGAAGACAATGAAGATAGACAAAATAAACTTGTGAGTTGAACTCAAAGTGTTGTAACAGTCATCTTCTCCAAGTTACTATATAAGAAAATTCAAAGAATAAGTAGGGAACTATCTACCTTGCCCATGCCTAACGCTACACAACCCGCACCCCGCATGGCTAAGGAAGAGGCCCTTAAGACCTCATGCCTGGCGTGGTAAATGTACCATGCCTGATCCCATCTCAAACAAAGAGTCTTTGGCTGACTCATGTCCAACATCACCATATTGGTGTCTAATGTCATCCAAATAGAGAGCTTTGTCTTGGTCACGTTGGGCACCACTTAACCTTAGGCCTGACATCACCAAGTTATAGACTTTCCTACATTCTCATGCTCAATGCCATTCAAACCACGTCCAACTCCATTCTAACTAGAGATGAGTCTCTCTCTTACACTTGACACCACTAATAATCCAGAATAGCCTCAAACTAAAATGACGCTCGATGCCACAGAGATGTGTCCGATGCAATGTTAGAATTCTACTTTTACAAAACCTAATTTTGACCCACAAACTAAAACTCAACAAGGAGCCAACATATGCATCACTACAAACCAACTATATACATCATAACCAACACAAAAAATGTACTCCAACTCAACATGCAACAACAAGAATTTAATTTACCATATCCGAACCAACATGCTTCAAAAATCTCAATCCTAACTTAGGTCATTGTACTTCAAATCATGCAGCTCACTAGCAAATCCAATTAACATCAATCACAACAATTCAACTGCTTCACTATGTTAACAATTTTTCAGCTTCCTTTACCTCAGGTAGCTCGGCACCAAGGTAGAAGAGAAGAAAAATAGGCTTTCCACACTTCTCAGATTTGATTCAGAATCTACACAACCTAAATCACCACAAGCAACTTAAAATTAGCTAGAGAAGAGAAGAAATCTAGAAGAATAGTTGATTAAGGGAAAGGAATCCACGGATCAAAGACCTTCTCTCTAGAGTTCTTTCTCTCCAAAGTGTTGAGGAAAAACGTTTATGAGGCTTTGTTCAAAATAGAAACCTTATATACTATTTCTCTCGGGTCAAACTCGATTTTTGCCTAGAGAAATCCTTCCAACACCATTGAAACTCCTAAGGGATCCTCATACTCTTTAACATTGAATAACAACTCAACTTAACAACATAAAACGATTAGGAATAATTATAACGTTTTCACAACTAGTGTTATAGTGTGTGTATATGTGTCTGTGGGTGTATTATCTTTCCTTCATATATTAACAAAATCACTTGCTTAGTGGTTAAGTTTTGTTTGAATTAAGGTTTAAGGATTCAAATATCTTGTTTAGTACTCCCTATGTTTTAAAACTTTAAGTTGTTTTAGCCATTTATACACAAATTAATTTATACATATTTGAACTAAATTACTCTAATTTTGTAATTTATAAATTTCTACAATATTCTCAACTACCTATCCATGCCACTCAAAATAATATTAATGCTCCATTTAAACTAGCCTTAATTACTTAACATATAAAGGTATAAATAATTAGAAAATAAAATTACAAAAAGATGTGTTAGAACACGTAAAGAGTATATATCTCATTTTCTTCTAATATGTTTGTTTGGTCATATTTGCCCTTATGTTTTCTTTGATTGAATATGGTAAATTTTTTTATTTTAAAGTTTTTGCTTGAATGTTATAGATTATGTAATTAAAAATAATGAAACTCAAAGTTTTCTTTCTCTTTATCTTTATCTTCTTCATTTTTTTCCCTTTTATTATCACATGATTTGTGATATCATACATTAAAATAGACCTACTTCTCTATTACAAGGTTTAAAATCAAGGTATATCAACTTTATAGTTATAATTTTGAATTAATTTAATTTTTTAAATTAAATTTTGGGTCTAAATATTATATGTTGATATATACTCTCTAGAAATAATCGATGAAGTTAATATGATACTTGCTAATATTTGACTTGAATTAGTTTCTTCTTTAACATTTTATTTCTTCTTTTTTTTTTCTTCTCTTTATGCCTTTTTAATATTTTTACTTTTCTTAATAATTTTTCTTACAAATCCATGTCATTTAAAATTTGAATGATATTTTAAAATCATATTTTAATACTACGGTAATTTTTCCTCATTTCATCTTTATTATCTAATACTCCTTTATTTCATCCTAAATTATAAATTTCATGTATCTTATGAGAACTACAATTTATACTTTTTTTATTCTTTGCATATAATTGAATTCCACTGTTTAATAAAATTTAATCATATAATATATAAACTAATATATAATAATATAAAGGAAAGAGTTCTGCAATATTTTCTAATACAATCTTTTTCTTTTAGAAATTTAAAATAATCAATATATAAAATATAATTAAAAATCTAAAATAGAAAATTCTCCACTTCAAAGTACAAATAATTACATGCCAAAAAATAATAGTAATTAAAAAATTCATGCAAAAAATTTTGCTTAAAATTTAAGCAAATATAAAGCTAATAACTTATTGTCAATAATAATAATAATAACAATATTATTATTATTATTATTATTATTATTATTATTTTATATTGAGTCTTAAAATAAAAAAAAATAATGACACCATAAAACTATTAATTATTACAATTAATTGTTGGAGTTTTAATGTAAATGTGCAAAAAAATCATATAAAATTAATTATTACATTAAAATTAAACATTAATACGTTAAAAATTCATGTATAATATTTATATCAATTCTTAATATTTCACATAAAATATGTAAAAAATACTAATTATTACGTTAATATTTCACTTTAATGCATTAAAAATTCATGTAAAATATTTATATTAATTCTTAATATTTCATATAAAATTCAATTAATATTAATATTTTAAATAACAAATAAAAATATTGATGTAAAAATGAATTTTTCCAAAATTCATGTAAACCTTTTGGAAAATGTTGAAGTCTTTAAATTTGATGTGGATTATAGTTGAAGCAACTTAAATGACTTTTGAGAGTCTTTTTTTTTCTTTTTTGAAAGATTGTTTCAATTCTATCTACCTCTAATATGTTTGAAGCAACTTAAATGACTTTCGAGAGTCTGATTTCATCACAATCCTATATCTACCTCTAAAAGGTTTAAAGATGTAGGGTATGAAAGTTATTTTCACAAAATTAAGAAGAAAAAAGTTATTTATTTAGCACAATAAACTAGAATTAAAATGCACGATAAAGAAAAGATCATTGGATTTATTGAAAGATGAAAGGTTTTAATTGAGATACTATCTTTTTCTATTGAACATTTTTTCAAAAAGAAATAATACATAACCTAATTATTCAATTCTTAATTAGATGAATTGTTGTACCATAGTTAAAATATGTACTTGAAGGAAGTGGAACCCATAAACAAAATAATTTCACTTCTATTAAATATGAAGTTATATAATAATATTAAAATAAAATATTATTATAAAGAATGTGCATGCATATGTATAGTGTGTCTACACACACATTCACATTTTCTTTCTAGAAAAAATTGTATTCAATTTTTATGAGGTATGTTTAAATGTCATATATATATATATATAATTTAAAATTATTCAGCTTTCTCAAAATAACATCGTCAGACAAAGTGGGAGAAGAAAAAAGATAAAAATGAATTCATATTATATTAATCATGTATTATCCTTCACTTTTAAACCACGTATAATGTTATATTTTTTATAAAAATTTTCATAATTCAATTAAAAAATAATATTTTCTTGACTTGTTTAAAATTATTTCTTAAAGTTGATATATTTTTTAAATCACGACATACATAATATTTAAAAATTAAAATTGAGTAAAAGATAAATCTCATTCAATTATTAATATTTACATTAATAATTTTTATTGTTTTAATATTACATAAATAATATTATCTTATTAAAAAAGACTATATATATCACTTAAATAAATAAATAAAAGAGTTGAATGTTACCTTAAAAACTAGAGAAAAAAGGTAGGGCGCAAATTTTCCTTGTTTGTATCTATTTCTAGGTTTAGGGTTAAAATTAAGAGTGGTGACGCGGAAGAAGGCGAAGGCGAGGAGAGAGAAAAAAAAGGTAGAGAGTTAAACCGTTCATTATGGTCTTGTCTTGGCTCAACAACCGTATCCATCGCTTCAGCCTAATCCTTCTCTCATATTCATAACCAAACCCCACTCTCTATCAACTCACAAACACATCATCGTCTCTCTTCTCTCATCATAATTACCATGGACCCAAACCCAAACGCCTCAGAGGTTCTCCACGAGTTCCCTCGCCTCTTCCGCATCTACAAAGACGGCCGCGTAGAGCGCTTCCTCGGCACCGAAACCACCCCTGCCGGCACCGACCCCCCAACCTCCGTCCAATCCAAGGACCTCACCATCAATGCCAACACCGGCGCCGCCGTCCGCCTCTACATCCCCCCCAACGCCGCCGGAAAGAAGCTCCCCCTCCTCATCTACATCCACGGCGGCGCCTTCTGCGTCTGCACCCCCTTCAACCCCGCCTACCACCACCACCTCAACGCCGTCTCCGCCTCCGCCAACGTCGTCGTCGTCTCCGTCCACTACCGCCTCGCCCCGGAGGACCCCCTCCCCGCCGCCTACGACGACTCCTGGGAGGCCGTCAAGTGGGCCGCCTCCCACGCCAGCGGCGCCGGCCCCGAGCCCTGGCTGAACGACCACGCCGATCCCTCCACCGTCTTCTTCGCCGGCGACAGCGCCGGCGGCAACATCGCCCACAACATGGTGATGCAGGGCACCGAGGAGGGCTTCGGCGGGTTGAAGGTTGAAGGGATGGTGCTGCTTCACCCTTACTTTGGTGCCGACAAAAAGGACGAGCTTGTGGCGTTTCTCTACCCCGCTTACGATGGACCCAGCAACCCCAAGATTCACTCCCCCATGGATCCAAAGCTTTCCACTTTGGCCTGCCCCAGGGTTCTGATCTTCGTCTCCGAGAAGGACTTTCTGAGGGAGAGAGGGTGCAACTACTACGAGGCCCTCAAGAACAGCAACTGGAGTGGCAAGGTCGACATCGTGGAGTTCTCCGGAGAGGATCACGTCTTTCACTTGTTCGATCCCACTAAGGAAAACTCTCTGTCCCTCATGTCGCAGTTTGTCGCTTTCTTGAAGCAGGGTAGAGCTTGATTCATTCATTCCTGGTACGTGGTACCTGGTACCTATACTGCGATCACTGCTCACCCTCATTCTTACTGTTTTGCTTTCTTTCTTTCTTATATTGTTTCTCTAGTTATCATCTTCTAGTTCTAGTTTCGGAACCCAGACTTCGATCGCGTGGATTCGTTTCCAATCCAATCCTCTCAATCTTTCTAGCTTCTGTTTGTCGTTTCATGTCGAGCAATGTCTGCGTATCAGATTCTGGAATGCATTAATGAGTATTCTTTATTATATAATAATAATTTTTATTATTCTGGTTATTTCTCTCATAACTTGGTGTTAGTGGTCCTGTAAAAAACAAATCTTGTAATGTTGGTGTTGAGTTTTACGCGTATTGTAACATTATTATTTGTATACATAAATTAAATTAATCAATCACGTCTTAGTATGAGAAAATTGGGCCCTATATATTTTGACATATTTTAACGTTATTTTAAAATGAATACGACTTCGTAGACAGGATGCACGATTTGATAACCGAAATGGATTTTAAAAACAATGAAAAACTTCAAAACTTTCTCCCGCCTGAACACTTCATTTTCTGATGTGGTTATGATATCAATCTAATTAACATATTTGAATATAATACAAAAATGATTTTTGCAACAAAAAAAAAATCTAGACAAGCTTGTAAAACTTAGCCGGCCCGTCCTTGAATTTTTCTTCAGGTATAGAGACATATTTAATTATTTACCTTTGTGTATTGCCATTCATTTCCAAATGCGTCATGGATAGAGTTCTCAAAGAATGCTCCAATCCGTAGGCTATTTAGCCCACTTTGATTATGAGTTGGATTAGGTAAAAAAAAATTAATTGGTCAAAAAGTTTAATTTGATTAACTTTTGACTTGATCCATTTGTGTTGAACTCGTGATGAATCATACTCTTTACTTAATTCACTTACATTTTCCATCCATAAATTCAATCCACCGATATCTTATTTAATCATTTATTATTATTATTATTATTATTATTATTATTATTATTATTATTATTATTATTATTATTATTATTATTATTATTATTATTGGGGGAAAGAGACATTTTGTGCCTTTAAATATTTTAAAAATAAAATAAAAAATATAATAGTGTAAACGGTTATTTAGAGTTGGTTAATAGTTACTAAAAATATTTATCTCTTAAAAAAAATTAAGGGTATAATCTTCCACAATCGTGGAGACAAAAAACAGTTACGAAAATAAGTATTCCTTTTATCTATTAGTATAGATTATTATTATTATTATATATATGTATATATTTATTGTTTTAATAAGGTACCATTTTTTTAGAAGAAAATAAAATTGATATTAAACAACATAAAATTGTTATACCATTTGTTGAGGTACCAATGAAGTTTAATATTGATGGACAATTACTCATATGACTTTTTTATTATTATTTAAAATTGTACACTTTTTTAATTAAGTTTAATGTCGTATGCATGATGATTAGGTTGAAAATTTTTATTTTAAATTGGAGGTTATTTTATATTAAAATTTATTTTAAATTAGAATTAACTTAAAAAAAAATAGGTGGGTTGGTGAGCTGACCCATTTAGCCCACCAACTTGTGGTGGGCTGAGCTGGGTTAAGAGATTTTGAACATTTAAGTTGGTGGACTAGGTTGGGTCAACTCACTTTGGGCCAAACCGTTTTGACAACCTTAATTGTGAGTTGACATAAATGGTATAGGATCCAATATGAGTTTGTGTTCTCCATGACATGAGTTCGACACCCTCAAATATGATCTTATCCACAGGAAAAGAAATAACAATTATTTTTTACATTTGATTCATCATTCTATATGACTAGATAGTTTGTAATGTGCACAAAATTGGAAGATCGCAAAATAGAAAAGAAATGGTTGGATGCCATAATCCGAGTTGATTGATGAGTCAAAGAAGATTCATTACAAAGGTTTATCCCTTTGATAAGAACCAAGAGAAGAATTCTCTCAAGAGATAACAATATCATTCAATGACTTTCAAAAGTGTTTACAAACTAGTGGGAAAAGCCTATTTATACTTAACCCACTTAAAAAGTGTATTAGACACTCTTCGGCTCACTAAAATGACAACAAACATGGTTTGACGCACAAAACAAATTCAAACTACAATTGCAGTTGCACCATTTTTGCTTAGTCATTGAATTCTTGCTCAACTAAAATAGTCACAAGGAGAAATTTTTGCTCTACTACAATCTTATCACTTAGCAAGAATGCACTTTGAAGAAAAAGAGAGCTAAGCTTGCTCAACCATGATTTGGTTGCTTTGCTAAAATAGCCACAGTGAAAAATTCTTGCTTAGTCGTGAACTAGTCACTCAGTTAAAATTTAACAACCAATTTTTTTCTCTCTAATTTTATCTGTATTTTTCTGACAAAAATAAATCCTATATTAAGTTGACTAAAATACAAAATCAACTCAACATTATTACAAAGCATCATAGTTAGAATTTAACAACCAATTTTTTTTCCTCTAATTTTGTCTGTATTTTTCTGACAAAAATAAATCCTATATTAAGTTGACTAAAATACAAAATCAACTCAACATTATTACAAAGCACCATAGTGCCTAAAAGGTATTCTACAAGTTAGCTCCATTTCTTCAAGCAAAAGAAATGGTTGAGCCTCCTTTATTAGAGTCCTCCAAGGTCTTCAAAAGCAATCCAAAAAGTATCTTATGTTTCTTCCTTGATTAGCCATTCCATGATCATATTACCCTCTACAACCATAAAATCCTAATTTGGTAGGTCTCTACTGGTACTTCGTTCGTCAAGTAAAGTCTTGAGTTAAATTGGGCACCATTAAACTTTGGTTAACCATTGAGTGGACAATGACACTTGATTTGAAGATCTCTAGTATGTCATTAACTCCCTACCCGATCAGTAGTCATGGAATATCATTCCTTAAATTCAAGTTTAATATATTTAATTAATTGACATTTAAATTATTTATTATATAGAGGCTCTAGTTATATTTATAACATGTATTGAAAAGATTAAATTTACCATTTTTAGTTTTTTTAATTGTTTATAAAATAAATTTTATTTTTGGAATAATAACTTAAATTTATAAATAGTTTTTTTTTTATAAAAATAATAAGTTGTTTTTAAGAAACTAAAAAATTGACGTTTATAATTATTTATCAACAATTTTTTTTCCCTTTTAAGTTGATTTACCACATTAAAACTGTTTTTCATGTATCCAAATGAAATTAAACATATTAAAATATTCTTTAGTAATTTTATCCAAACAAAGTTTCAACCTGATTATAACCTACTATAACAACAATCATTATTTTCCTATTTTTCAGTTGTTTTTATAGAAAATAAAATATGTTTGTAAAAAAAGTTGATTGTTTGAAAAATTAGTTAAAATTCATAAACAACTAATTTTTTGAAAAATAAATTGTTTTTATGAAGTTGAAAATCTGAACCTTATAATTATTTCTCAATAGTTTTTCTTTAAAATTGATTTATTACATAAAATTGATTTTAATGTTATATTCAATCAAAATTAAACACCTTACAATCAATTGTTTTTATGAACTTGAAAATTCGAACCTTATAATTATTCCTCAATAGTTTTTTCTTTTCTTCTTTAAAGTTGATATATTAGATAAAATTGATTTTTGTGCTTATAATTCAAACGAAATTAAACACCTTAAAATCAATTATCAACAAATTCACTAAAAATAAACTTTTATTTTGATTATAATCCATTATATTAATAACTATGATTATTTATATAATTAATTATTGAAATAATATAATTTTTACAATTTTCCTAAATTAACACACTATTAATTCAGTGTTAAACTAATACTTAATTAATAAAAGACGCGTGTTGAGAGGGCAAATTTGATGTTAAAATAATATAATTTATTATTATATTTGGAAGACTTTGTATAATACGTCCATGGGCCATTTTTTTTAAAAGATAATTTAATTACCTTAATTATGTAAACTTTAAATTACCATATTACCCTTAATTTGGACCATTATAATTTGTTGTAGATTATTTTTATCTTTAATGATCTTTTAATTTTTAAATTGTTCTAATTAAAACTCAAAATTTTATAATTAACATTATAGAGATATAAATTCAAATCATAATTATTTTTTCATCAATTAAAACTAATTTATACAATTTTGTAAATTAAAAGTTTTGAATGATTACAAATTTTATATATTAATTAAGATTTCTATTATAAATAAAATAAAATCTTAAATATATTTTGAATATAATTTTTCACATTTAATATTTATTTTCATATACATGTAAATATCTATAAAAAAATTAATGTTTAATATGAGACTCAAAACCTTCATTCCCTTCTTTATTCCTTCTATTATTTCTTTCTCTTTCCATTTTTTTTCCTTCACTCACTTACCTTCACTCGTTGTGTTGGAAAATCATGGCATTCTTGATGTTTCTTTGTTGTTGAACTCATTCCTCTCATTTTGATTCACCAAGGTACTGAGCAATAGGAGAAGTTGAGGGCTTTGAGTTAACGACTCGCCGTGGTTCCTACACTTAGTAGAATCGCACTATTAATAGTGAACTAAGATAAATAATAAAATTGAATAACTCAAACACAAAAACATGGAAAATATATAAGAATAATTGAGTTTTTAAATATAAGGTATTTATACAGTTATCCAAAACTAATATCTCCTAGTGTCGGTCAAGCACAACAACTGTTACCCAAGGTGGTAACTCTGACACTAGGAACCAAAAATTCTATTTCTAGCAACGGACGCAACCAACAGCTCCAACTTAGCCCTGATTTTCTCTCATACACATTATGATCATGACAGTCCATCCATATGGAAATAGAAGGGTAAGCTAGAGTTCAATAAACAACCATACAAGTATATGGAAATACTATACTACTCATTCATCCAATCGTCATCACAACACAACCACACAGTTCAACATAAAAACCCAACTCATTCATACAACTTAGAAACAACTTTAATACAACAACAACAACAATATACAACTTAAAATTTAATGCGTCGTCACACATATACAATTAGGAGATCTCCAACAACTAAGGTTGAGTAGTCTAGGTGGCATAAACCCTACCGAATCCAACGTTTGACCTATCTTAACCAGGTCAGGTATAAGACATCGTTAAGAACTCCGAAGAGAACCAGGTATGGACAACAATAGGCGATTGCTTAGGTGTGCCACTTAGACTCGGAGGTCCAGTACTACTGTCAGGGCAAAAGGGTTTGGGTGTGAACCTACCATAGCCTTGGTCTG